CATAGTGTATGAGCGCAAAACAAAAGATTGTGCACGGTCGTGGACCTTCCAACATAAATCCAGTTGAGATCTTTGTATGCTCATTTGATGTTTGCCAGGTTTCATAACCAGTTCCCTCTATGGTCTTCAGAATTCCATGAAGACAATGAAGTCCTTCACGAGAAAAATGATGGGGCCACTCGAGGTTTGGGCGGCTTATCTTAATGAGTAATGACTGACCTGGGGCCATCATTGTCTACAAAACTATTCTCTTTGATTGTAATCTTCGTGCAAAGTTCCATGTCTTTGCTGTCTAGACATCGCTTTCTTTTGACCAAACAAGGTTACACGACGGCAGTATTTTCACTTAAAGATTTCCAATTTTCGAGACGTTTAGGCGTAGTGGTTGTGTGCTAAACTACGCAACAGCCAAGGTGAATTCATTCCAAAGTACGTCCTAAAAACACCTCAAAATACCTGAAATACTTCCTCAAATAACTAGGCATCCAGTCTATAACTTTCAATATTCTCGAGTTGTGTAACTGTACGACAAATTTCAACAAATTTCAGAAATGACAGTCGGGCCCTGGATTTCTCAAACCTCCCGATACTGACTCGACCCTTAGACCTGTTTCCATTAACTCCCGATTTCTCGAAACAATTATCGTTTCCCTTGGAAGTTCCACCAATATTTGTACAGCTTAACTGAACATTTAATTCAACAGGTCATGGGGCTAAAAGCAAATGTTTTCAGGTAAGAAACTGTGGCTTAAAGGCAGCGTTCTCCTATAGAAACTGCTGAAAACTTGGAAAGTAAGTGAAAAAATCGAAATGTTATGTTTGGTTATAAAACTCTGTTTGATCCCATTGCAGTCTGCAGGCCCCTTTTAATAGTACTCTTTACAACCATGATTCCTCAAATGTTTTTGCCCATAATTTGATACCGTAATACCGTAAATTCCGTTTTTCCGCAGTTAAAAGGTTTCTTTATTCACATTTGAAACTATCAACTTAAAAGTCACTCTGACATGTCAGAATTCCAGCATGTTTAGTTTTAGTGTTTCAAGGGGCTTTAGAGTCAACCTGTTTGGAGTGGTGATTAAAGGAAAAATACTTGTCGTAGAAAGCTCATAGTAAAGGAACTATCGTTCCTTTTTAGCGAGCGGCAAAGTCGCCTCTTCGCATTTCTGTACTCGGCATTAGATACTTCGTCGCCGAAACAAAGCACTCGTGCGCCAAATCTCAACAGATACGAGGGTTAGATTATCTGCGATGTTTTTCCTGTGTATATTCAAGATCGATAGCTAAATTCCGAACACAAATATGATGGCTATGATAGTTGACGACTGTTCTTTTGTAAATGCTAGGGGGCGAGACGGAATATGAAAGTATAAATTACATAGCAATGTCATAGGGAAAAGGTTAAAAGCCAACGCTTCAAATATTTGAGTCTTGATAACGCGAAACAATTTTAAGCATGTCTGAGTCCGAGAGCAGCCCTTGATAAAGAGACAATATGAAATATAACATATCCGTTTAATCGTTCCGTTGTGACCTAGTGTCGGTCAATAGATCCAGCTCGGATTAGCTCCCACAACAACAGAAAACAACTCATGACGTGTGCGGAGTCAGTGAGGCTATTACTGACTCTAGCTGGTCAAAAATATTTTCTTTTACTATATATAAAAGCAATGAGAGAAAATACAGAACTAAGAAATCGGCACAAACAGGATAATGGCTGCGCCCGGGCTGGGCGTGAACACATTCCGGGGTTGCGGGTAAAATTTATATCCTTTGGTTTTCCCACGATGCCCACGGTGTTTTCGGCATGGCCTTGCTCCATGCCTAATGAAAGCTTCATTGTTTCCCATTTATCGAGACCGGAAGTGTTTCAAACAGTATCATACTTTGCGGTACAGTTTAAGAAAACAAAATTCGCGATGAGTTTAAGGCCATGAGATTTCTAGAGTTCACTGCTCAAGACGTGCGTACTTGCAAGAAATGAAATTGTAGAAATTGTTCAAAAGTAACAAAGGTTAAATACAGATACCCTTTGACTCAAGATTAAGTGATCCACAATACTACATAACGTGATACAGTACATCTTCACTTCTGATTGAACAGACCGCCAGTAGAGGTCACGCATCTTTAAATCATGGTAAGAATTTTATCATCAATATCTCTTTAGACGTAAAAATTTTTGCAATTTTCATCACGGTGTTGATTCGTACCAAATGATATTTGTGACTGTCCTCTTCTTACGTATAAATGCATGAATTCTTGGACCTGTCTTACCACATAAGATGAAATTACAACGACAGCAGAACAAGCGACAAATGAAAATGACAGTTAAAAAAAATGACAGAGAAGATTCTAATCTTCATATTTAACGAAAAAAAAATAACTTCATTGTGCTTAGTCCCTGACATAAAGAACATTTTTCTGGTTAAACAAACTCTTCAAGTGAAAGAAACAGGAAGGGCTAACAAATAAGAAAAGCAAACCGATACGGGCCTTCTTCCTTTGGACGCGGGCGGGCGGTATGCGAAAAAGAACGAAAAAGGGAAGAGTACAAAAGCAGGAGCAGAAAGAAGTGGCTACAGTTTAAGTGAAACTTACTGCGTTAGGTCGAATCACTGTCCTACAACACTCCATCAGTTTTCCCTGTATTTCTTTTTGTTCTTCGTTCAGTATCCACTGTGGATCATAATCCCAATTCATGCCCCAGAATTCCTTCCCATTGCCCCATGCTTTCGTTGTGTGAGATGCCATAACGCCAGGAGAATTTCTTAGCGACAGATTCTGAGCCGCGCTCGATAACACTCTTGATGGTGTTCTTGTTCACCAAGAAGAGGGAATGTCTAGTAAACTGAAGACTAATGTGTTGGTTTATATTCATTGTTTTGACCCTGTAATTGACCTCTCAATGGGCAGTGATAGAGATTCTCACGTACACGACTTTGCAGTTGGTCGGAAATTTAATAAGCTTGAAAAGTATTAATGACCTAGTAAAGTTGCTAAAGTAATAACTTACCGAAAATAGTGACCTTACGAAAGAAACAAATAATCTTCCATAGTGGTTAGCAAATCCTGAAAGAAGTGACCCCTGTAATGTAACGACCATCCGAAAGTAGCGACCTCAAAATATTTGAATTGTTATCGCAGAAAAAAAAAAAAAGAAAAAGAAAAAAAAACACAATGCAAATAAAACGAGCTAAACCAGAGTGCCTGATATTTGTTGACTCTTATTACAAAGGCATTATATTACCCCGTTTGTTGTGACATAAATTCTTTTGCACAAGATGTATCCCTTTCTTCTTTATATACTGTACTATACTGGGAACATTTTTATCCGTTTAATGGTCACATGGCGGTTACACTTCTTAGTTACATAAGACACATAAGCACCAACCGTCGAAAGGCGCCACCCTTGATAGTAATGATGGGAAGGTTTTGCTAAATCATAAATTTACGAGGGTTCTTTATGTTGGGAACTTAACGGTAGTAATATTGTTCGCATGATATGTGTAAAAATAACGCTCCAAATTCGGAGAAACCGCCGTCTTGAAATGTCGACATATCGGTCCGTGCATTCATAAGTAGATTTTTCTTTGCGGAAAGAAAGAAAACCCCGGCAATTATGCCCCAGGGGACTCTAGGGACAGAGAATTTAATCCGACTTGTGAAGGAGACCAAGTGGGTGTGGCGCAAGATTTATTTTGTCCCACGCAAAAAATCTAGTTTACAACAAATGACAACAACACAATGTCAGTTGTACATACTCAAACATGCCTTGAAATCGTCAGTAAATACCAGAGCCAAACCTACCACAATTTCCGAGTTCTATCTTTCTACTCCTAATCTTACTTCTACCAACATGCAACTCATTCTTATTGAAAAAGAAACTTTTCAGTCTCTTAAGCCACAGAAGCCACGCTTAATATCCACGCTAAAACATCTACACTTTATGGCTTAAATGTCCGTGACAAAATCCAACTAGCTACTTGTCAAACATGTCAACAGCCTGCTAACACATCCAACGTGTGCATTACATTGTATTTCACAATAGTTACTATCTAAAATTGTCTAATTTTTCTCTATACCTGAAGAAGGCTGGTACTGGCGGCCAGCCGAAATATTCTTTTAAATCAAGTTAAATTCTATGTTTTGTTGGCTTTACTTAATTTGCCTTGATGGATAAAAATCTGTCGGTCTTTCCTTAAACAACACTCCAACTGATACCGAAATCCCTAATTTACATCCACAAGAAAGAGCACCCTTGACCCTTTGACACTGAACGCCCCCTTCTCACATCACATATGCATCAAGTTTGGTATACGCCAAAGTAAGGGACAAGCGATGTTCATCCGGGTACCCATGCTGGGTTTCCCGGCAAGCGAACTTGTGAACATAATTAAAGAAATTTGTTTGATTAAGAATAATTAGCATTTAGAGACGTCCCTGCCACGGCTCTCGAATTGAATGTAACGTGGTGTTTTTCAAGTGCCTCCTCGTCTTTCCTGTCTAATCAGAAATTGATCTCTTGATCTACGCAGTTCCGCGCTCTCATGTATTCAGCTTACAACTAGGTGCCGTATTTCAAGGGAACGAGCACATTGACGTAATCTTGGTGAGAAAGTACAAAAATGTAATGTCTTGTTTTACTTTCTCCCACTCATTTCCGTTCTTCTCCTGACAACCTAAGAAAGGGGACTGGGAACTACTTCCTAGTCCCTCTCCATTGCTTTTGGCTGCGTTAGGAAGGCCCTGTTCTGGGTTCTGGTAACTGTATCAATTAAGCATTGCTAGACTGAAAGCGGTCATCAATTAACTGATTAAAACAATATATTTTTTCCTGTTATTCGGGTTACATACACTAACGTAGAA